TGCGGAGTCGGGCGAGGGGAGCTCTGTACACGGGAGGTGACGGGGCGAGCGCGAAGGAGGTCACCAGTGTGGCCGGAGGCAGTGCCGGGGCTGCCGCTGACCTTAGGTCTCCCCACCCCAGCACTGGTCAATGATTAGCTCTTGCAGGGTGTTCACAGCGCGGGGAGCTGCGCAGAAGCAGCCGTGTGGCCCCAGCAGGCGCGGGAATGTGGGGCGGGCGCTGCGCTCCAGCCCTGTGCGGAGGGGGCTGCAGCTGGGGCTGCAGCGGGGGCCGGTCCGGGGAGTGTCCAGCAGGGTTTAACCTCCGCAAGGCAGCGCTGCGTTTCGTAACGCTGTTCTCCTGTGCTTCCGTCGCTGACGTTGAGCCTCTGTGGCCGATGGGGCGAGCCCACGTGCAGGGAAGAGGCTGAGGGCAGCAGGAAGTCGCGCTGCACCACGGGAACGTGGACAGGAGGGAAATAGACCCCGAAACTGCTTTTGCAACCCCCCAAAACTGGCCCTTCTCCCTTCTTCCTGCTTGTGGCAGAAGCGGTCTGTGGGCCGGCCGCTCACTGGCGCGGCGCAGCGTGCTGCAACCTGCCCTGGACGTCGTTTTGGGAGACGCCTCTCGAACCTGAATGGTTCAGGTCCTGCCTGCCCCTTTGTGCTGGCACCTGCGGTTTTGGGGGTGCAGCCGCTCTGGAGCCGGGTGCCCGGTGATGTCCAGGCTGCGTCACCCCAGGAGCAGAGCGAGCATCGCTCTGGGGGTGATGGGGCAATTCCCTCCGTCCTCGGCTCTCTTTAGGGGCAGAAAAGGAGCTTTGGTCTTCCCGGGCCAGTGCCAACAGCCCTCCCAGCCTGGTGACTCGTTTTTCTCTGCCCTGCAACGTCTTGTTTATCACCCCGTCTTGCGGGTTGTCCTTGTCCCCCCCCCACCTCCCTGCCAGTTTCTCTGCCCTGCAACGTCTTGTTTATCACCCCGTCTTGCGGGTTGTCCTTGTCCCCCCCCACTTCCCGGCCAGCCGTGCGCGTGGGTTTTTGCTCCTTTGCAAAGCAGAGAGCGTCCTGGAGGCGAAGGAGCGACAGAGGCCACCCAACAGCCACTTAGGAGCGGCCTTGATTTTAACGAGGCAGCCGGAAACGCCGGTGCCAGAGCGGGGCA